AAACGAAATTCCATCCGGGACGTCCCAACCGGGAAAACGAGAGTACCTTTTCAGAATTTCCGTTTGTCCCGGGAATTTTCCAGTGTGACGAACCAAAAAACGGTTTACCATTTATATCCCAACAACTCGTCTTTTTATCTGATCAGTATATCTACAATATACGCAGGCCAGTTAGAAAGTATCTGTCTCATAAAACCGCCATGATCCCTTGTCCATGCGTTTATTACCAGTACATTGGAGCAACAGCCTATTATACGGCCTTCCTACTATTTACATTAATAAACTTCAAAAAGTTCAAAATGCTCCTGACAGACCCAGTGTAACTAACACCCCTGGCGTATCTGTCATATTACTCCCGTTTTTCGAATACAGAATTGAATTTACATTGTTATTAACATTCAAGTGCCTCTATGGACTAGCACCTCAATATCTGGTTGATCTTATTGCTGTCGCTGCCCAGTCAAGAAATAATCGTACGGCCAGGAATGCGACTTTAACGCACGGTGCCTACCTACACTTGGTGACCAAGCCTTTCAGTCTGCAGCTCCCAAACTGTCGAAGAGTCTTCTGACGGAGATAAGAAACATTGAGCCTTACATCTTTGAAGAGAGCTCTCAAAAGGTACTTTTTAAAGATACCTTTTAATTGACTTACTTGTTTATTTATTTTAAGTTCTTATCGTTCGTAATGCGCATGAAAATATGAAAATATTTCTATTGTATATGCGCAATATAGGTTTCAGATTTATTATTATTATTATTATTATTATTATTATTATTATTATTATTATTATTAAAAATAGGCAAGTTTGCCCTCTGAAACAAGCATTGGCATTATTTTTTAACTAGGATTTTCCACAACGCCATCCCTTCCCAAATCCGTCAATTTCCCCAAAAAATAAAACCACAAAGCTGGGAATAGCCTTCTCTGAATGGGCGTAAAACCGGAAAGTGTTACTTCAATCACAATTATTTCAAGAAATATGTAAAGCCACTGCCTTGCAACCTATTTGTTTTCGACTTTTTCGAATTCGTTCTTTGGCGAAGTTCTGTACGGTGTAATTAGCTAGTCCGTTACCTTTGGGATTTGGTAGGCCATTGCATAAATGGTGCACACGTTAGAATTTTGCAAGCGCATCTTTTTTTCCTTTTGTGAAGGTATTACTGACTTTATGTTCAGTTGCTGTCAAGATTGCGGTATAGTGGAATCCCGTTAATACGGTCACCAATGAGCCAAAAAAATTGGCCTTAACAACGGGTGACCGTATTTTTACAAGAAAATGTATAGCCGTTTTGCCATCAGGCGGCCAAAAAAAGTGGCCATAAGGCGGGGTTTCACTGTACTAGTCTTGTGACGCTTGTTTCTTAAGGGTCCACGATGACCTAAATCTTCTTTTTTTTCCTTTATGAGGTAGCGAGGGCAAAACAAGACGTATTTTAGTGGTCTTTAAAAAGATACCCTTATATGAATCGTATCATTTTCACACTTGGGGGAAAATGCTAGCATGAGGTTTATAGGGTTAGAGAAATTAGCGCCTGAAAAATAACTGACGCTATTGCCGCGGGCTATTGTTTTTCTCCCTGCTTCTTAGCTGGACCGTTACTTGACATCACTTTTTTTGTTGTTGTTTTTCTCTTATCTGTCATATACTATTGAAACACAAACAAGCAAGCTGATTTGTCATTAGGCCCTGACAAAAAAAGGTCTAAAAAAATGGCTGAATTCCCTGAATGATACTAGAATTGCTATTTGAGAAAAAGTGGTAAAGATGTTCTTGTAGCCAGTGGTCCTGGGTATCGTTCCAAAAATCAGAAGCGTTTTTTTTTTAGTTTTTTGAGGACGTAAACTGTTTTTTTTCCTTACTTTTACTCAGAAATTGAAAACTTGCTTGCTAGTTGCAAACAAAGTGCTGTATGCTGAAAGGAGCGAAGACACATAATTTACAGACGCTGACGATGAAATAGTTTAACCGGACCTAAAGTGAAAATAAAACTGACGTGGAAATCGAAAAAACTGGATCGTTTCGTTTGGTAAGATTTTATTACGACGGCTCGGGATTATTCCCAGCCTAAGTAAGTTTTCCTTTATTGGCGAGGCAAGTAAACCGCAAATTGAGTATCATGAAGTATCTCATAAGCTGAAAATGCGATACTTGAAGCGCCGGATTCAACACAAGCTGGAGCCAACCTGTTATCTCTCTTCCACGAAGGTTTTAGGTGCTATTTGCGTCATTGCAGAAACTTGCTCCACAAATTTACGTGATTGGTACAGTGAAAATTCCCCTGGCAGTTGTGATTGAAGCAGAGGTCACTTTTGTTCTCACAATTATGAAAAATTGGTTTGACCATCTGACTTCCTTAACTTAGGCCAAGGCCAAACGTCGAAATATATTCTCCCCAATGTCATTATTATAAAAGTTCAGTTGTTTTTTAGCCTGTTTACACTATCTTTTATTTCCACTTTAGGGACTTTCGAGCGCTAGTAAGAATAAAACCGCGGGGGATTTGTTGACCGTTAGCGCCAGGGGTGGAGGAGGGGGGGGGGATAGAGAGATTTAAAGTGAAGTTCACGGCAAACAGCAAAACGTAGACTCAAGTTGAGAATTTCTCAAAATAGAAAATTAGCAGATAAACACAGTCGAAAACAATTCTTAGGGATGAAAATAACACAAGTCTTCTTATTTTTTTTGTAGAAGTAAAGAGCACTTGAAGACAAGTAAAGGGAAAACTTGGTCACGTGGCACAGACTCTAAATCTATTGTTTTTGTTTGTTTGTTTTTTTTCTTTCTGTTCTTTTTCCCCGCGCTCCGGGCTCGCCTTTTGTCAAAACGAAAGAGGAAACAACGTCTGTGTACACGCTAGGTAGGTCTGACTAAAGGAGAAATTCTTACTAGTCGCGAAAAGTTGTACACTAAGTTTTGGGCGCGCGGAACAGAGCTTTAGCATATTATGGACCTACTGATCTCTACAAAAGTCGCTTCTACAATGTATTTTGTTTGACTGTTTTTCTTATGTTTACTTTAGTATACTTTAGTATACAAAACCGTGCTGTTTTTTAGAGTTCCTTAGTTCCCAGTATCTAAACGTCTGATAACAGGCTAGAATGACCATTTGATTATGTACCCTGTTTTCAGTGCTACAACTGTTCGATTATAAGTTTATTACTGCCTTCCTCTTTAGTGAAAAGTGGCCCAAAATTACCCATCCAATGGTCTGGAAAATATCTATGACCATTGTCACCACATGCACTCCCTCGAGTGCCTTTCTTAAGGATTCACCCTGTTGACTGCATAACACCTACATTTTATAACAGAACTATTTTATTCCAGATCTAACTTAACTAATTAGGTACCATCAACAAACATGTGGCCACCTCATTACTACAAATTACCAAACAGAAAAGTAATAACCTAATATTATACTTGCGTTATACAAGTGCTGTTCCAGTCAGTCACGTTAAACGCAGACAAGGCAGACTGCAGACCGTGCAGACCATGCAGATAATTTGTGCAGACTGAGAATTTTTTACAATGTATCAATCTTATTTATTTTTTTATCATTATTTTTTTACCTAATTTTTATTGTAGTGTGACAAATTTGAAGTAGAGTAAAATTATTTATACTTATTGTGTTCCTTCACAGTCTACGGCTAACAACAGATCACCAACTTTATTAAGGTCGGGGATATACCCTCAGTTGCTTACATGTCAGTCAGACTTTTGTCCTTCCTCTGCTTTTTTCTTTTTCGGTCCAATTACAAGCAACAGAAAAAGTAGAGGTTCATTTGCTATGGAGCGTTTGAATCATGCATTCATACAGTGTATGCAGGATTATATTTCTCAAATATTTAACTGACAGTAAGAAGGGCGAGTACTTACATTAAAAAAGCCAACACAAACATTAGCGTATTACCTCTGGACCTGTATTTCCAAAATTATGATGACAAATCCATTAAGTTAGGGTGGTTTGTGAAAGAGACTGCTCCATATTTATGCCACCATCTTGGAAGAGGAGAGCTGGAGCAAGTAACAACATACATTCTTGTCTCCAGATCCCCCATGTCACTCTTGGAAAAGTACTACTAAGGGTTGGAAGAAAAAAGATATTATACAGTACACCATTCACCTTTCCTGCTATTAAACGACACTCGTACTGACTTTACACCAGGAAGACCGACACCTGTAGGAGGAAGTTTTTCACCAAGCCATCACCTTTATATACCAATTCTAGCTTTTCTTTTCTTTTTTCTAAACTATCACAAGTGAGAAAAATTAGGATAAAAAACATCAAATGATAAAAAATTTTAAAAAAATCTCAGTCTGTATGGTCTACGTTTTAACATGACCGTGTTCCAGTTAAGAGCAGATGATATTTGTCTAGATATATTCCAGTCTTGCTCTTGAACAAAAAAAACCACTTCCTATTGCATAAACTGAACCACAAAATATACAACGTGCCTGTAGTAAAATAGACTAGTCAGAACTATCAGACTGTTGTCAAACACAATCATCTCAGTCCCTAACCTAAACAATATTATTGGTTCAGTTTTTTGCTAATTAATTTACACTGTATTGCTTGAGAAAACCATGCAGTACCCTCCTAGGCTGGTTCTGCATTCTATATATGCATTTTATTATTTTTCAGACCGCCTAATAACTCACGTTTGTAATTTTTGTGTACTTTATTCCTTGTCGTAGTTATAGTTAAAGTGTAACCAGTTTATTATGGGTTTCAGTTTTTAAGTTGTAAAATCTGATTAATTGTTTACATTTGTCTTAATTAATACAAGCTGTCGTAGTCCCAACCTTACATAGTGTCTTGTTTCGTATTTAGTTTGGTTTTTAACTAAGTTACAAATAGAAAAACTGACTGGAAATTCTGTTATGGTTTTTTTTTCTGACCTGTGTTCATGTACACCAAAGAGCTAACTTTAGTATTTGTTTTGACAGTCATGTACATGTACGTGAATATTGTTTCCAGTTGAGTATTATAAAGGCAATATTATAAAAGAGGCACAACAAACAGAACCACCAACAACAATGCACCAGCCTTACTAACAAAACCTTTGCTTATTGGATTAGGAACTGACCCATCCATTCTCAGACAGTTAGAATGATCAGCATTTGCCTTGGTGTAACTATAGGAACCTGCCCACATCTTCTCACAAAGGTTTTTTCCATTGCCATACATTGTTTCATAAGTTTTGCATGGCTTGTTTGCAGGACAGAAATTTTCCTGATGAACAGTGAAGTTATAGTCTTCAAGAACATTCTCCACACAGATCTGATCAGCCTTGCAGGCATCATACCAATTATCACAGAAGTCTGAGCAGACAGGCACACCTAAGAAACACAGAATTTAAATGAGATGTAAAAATAGAAGAACCGTAAAATTCTGAAAATAAGCCCCTCCATGTATAAGCCCCCCCAAACCGGTAAGGCAAAAATCCCTCCTTTAAATCACCCCTACAAATATAAGCCCCCAGGGGGCTTGTACTTGGAAAATTACCCTCAAATACAAAGTATTTGGGTGCAGGTGGAATTGACTGATTACTCTAAGCCAGATGGATTAACATCCGGTCAGTATATATAAACAATGGATTGCAGACTGCGGACTGCAGACCCCGGACTGTGGACTGGGTATAAAACACGGACTAGGTATTAAATGAGGACTCTGAGTATAAAATACAGGCTAGGTATAAAGTGCGGACTACGGACTACCTTATTATAGGAAATTAACGCTCCATGAAATTAATGCAAATCGTTAAAATTCGCGTTAATTTAAGTCACGTTAATTTTGTTGAGCATTAATTTCCGCGACGTTAATTAAGTGCAGCGTTAATTTCTGCACTCTTAATTACCAGTACTTTAACCCCAATTTTGGAACCTGTCCAGACATTCTTGACACCTAAAAAACATTAACTACAAGCTTTCTTTCTTTCCATTTACCCTTTTTCATCTTTCACAAAAGTTAAAAGGCGAAGGTTCACAATATTTCCAGTTCATCTTCATCGTTGTCACTGTCAGAAGTGATGTCAATATCTTCTCCTTTGATTACGGCCAAGATAATCGCTTTAATTTCCTTTTTATGAAATTCTACCTCCTCTTTCGCGTTAATTTTCTTTATTCGAAAGTCATTTTCCATTAAATTTGTGTGAATTTTAAGTCGCATTAATTTCCAATACCTCAATTTCATGGAGCGTTAATTTCCTATAATAAGGTATGTATATAAAAACAGCTTTAGAAAGGTAAAACTGACAGAGACGGAAATGGACTAGCAAAAACAGTAGTCCCAGCTTTAACATTCCTTTAGCTGTTCACATAGTCTATTCTTCCCACGGACAAGGAAGGTTATACCGGTATTCAAGGCAACTGAAATATTATTAAACTCCCAATTTTGTAAAAAAAAGGAGTTAGAAGAGATTTCAATTTACAGTTTTAAACCAATAAGAAGCACCAAATAAAAAAAAAATAGTATTGGTGTTAGTCAGATCAGTAAAATTCTTATAGAGAACTGGGCGGCACACCTCCACTAAGAATTTATAGGAGTATTTACAACTTTGACTCACGTGTCTTGCTATTTAGCAATATTTTGATCTTATTTTTCCTTACCTAGAACCAATTAGCACCGATTTACCACCAATTAGCACCGCACTACCAACGTAGTCTGTAGTCCGTATTTAAACCCAATCTGCAGTTCTCTTTTTATACCTAGTCCATGTTTTATACCCAGTCCATATTTCCCAGTCCCCGTTTTATACCTTGTCCATATTTCATACCCAGTCCGCAGTCCATAGTCCGCAGTCCGCAGTCCATATTTTATATTGACCGCATTTACATCTACCTTGCACAACAATCAGCTTGAGAAGACTTGTTTGCAGGTTTACAGACACAGTTCATTATGGTCCAAAAAAAATAAATAAATTTGATCAATTTAAGTTTAAATACCTTGAAGAGCTCCTTTTACTGTTGGATGTTTCCACTTGTAGACTTTAGGGGAACACTGATAAAAGCATTCCTAAAATGAACAGGATTAATGATGAGTAACAAAAACAGATGTATTCATGACAGTTATCTGCACAACAAGAAAAGACAGAGGTCCTAACTTTCTTGATTTACCTAAGTAAATTTTGGTATAATTACATGCCGTATCACAGCGTCTGGAGAATGAAGGTGTTTTGGACATGCATGGCTCGAGGAAATGTTCATTTTCAGCAACATTCGTGGGGATATTTCGCTTTTAAACGTTTACCGCGGAGCAGCGATAATAGAAGTGTACCTCTGGTCGAAAAAATCTGCGATTTGATGGGTTTTCGGGTCGCAAACCGCCTTCGAGTAGGCAAGGTCTGGACCGCGGGCTGTTTTTCTGTGCTGCCTTCACTCCGTATTATGAAGAGAGTTACAGGGGTGAAACAATAACAGCTAAAAAAACCCCGACTAAATCGATGAATTCACACCAAAAAACACAGGAATACATCAAAGGTAAGTCTCCTTTATTTATTTTACAGAAAAATAAGTAAGAATAATGATATTTAGCGTTCGCAGACCTCAGTATTTTATTACTCATACAAAGTCTCACCGGTTGCTTGTAAAGCGACACCGACTCTCTTAGAGAAAACACACTCGTAACGTGCGTGAGCTTGGGACACCTGTGATACATGTAGCTAGCTAGTCTTACAAACTCCTTAGTAAAAATAATGTGCAAAAAAAAATAAATAAATAAGAAATGTTAAGTCATAAATGGGTGATTACTTTGGTAGAACTCTCGTCTTGGATTGATTCGCCCTCTGCCGTTTTTCATGAATAAAATTAAAAACTCTGATTTAAAACTTCTGAAAACTTTAAACCAGCAAGATACAAAAACACTCACTTGCTTCACCCAAAATTCTTGGCATTTTTCAGACAACTGACCACATCGGTGCCATGAATGATTGTACAGATTTCTGGTTTCATTGGCAACAAGTTCAGCAGTGAAAGCGGCAGTGCAACAGCTGCTGTTCTTGAAGGCATGACAAGTCTTGAAGTCGCTTGTTTCGGGTGACGGCGAAGATTTGTGATAATCTCCAGCAATGCATTTGTCTTCACTAGCGACACAGAAAACAAATTGAAGAAACAAGCAAACTAACAGAACAAACTTTGCCATGTCGACAGGACGATGTCTGCAGAAACACTGACAAAACACTGAACTACGAAGATAGCACGCCCGTGCACGCTTGACCACGCTAAGACAAATTTCTCCACGTGCATTCAATGTGCACCCTTGTTGGCGGGAGAGGGGTGGGGGAGCAAGGGAAGTAGTCTTGTTTTTGCTGAGCTGGGTAGGGCTGGGGGCTAACAATGAGATTTCGGAGTTCCAAAAACTCTCACTTTCAAAACGAGGCTAAGTGCGAAACCTTTGTTGTGAAAATGAGTTTTATTTGCATCATAATTAAAAATCATTTTCATATCAATGGCTTCGCACTTAGCCTCGCCTTGAAGGTGAGATTTTTTGGAACTCGGAAATGGCCTATTCGAGGCCCGACACTTTATACAGCGGTTACCAAACACGCGCCCTCGTTGACGTCCACCAAACTGCAGGTTTGAACCGAAGAAAAAACTTTGTTATTTTCGGTAGAAGCGACGTCCGTAAATAGTCGTAGGCTACAGTGGTAACCGCTGTAAAAACACAGGCCCCAGTCTAAAAGCGCTGAAAATTTCGAGATACAAAGGTACAAGTCAGGAGCTCCTGACAAGTAAAGCTAAATAAAAACGCCAATGGAAGCTGGCAAAAGACCACCAAAATACTCTGCATAGATCAATACTGCTTTGTCTTGTAAGTTTTACTGTCTCGGTTCGATAAGCTGTACCCACGAACGCTGAAAAATTGCGACTCCTGAAGACCAAACTGGAAGAAAAACGTCAGATCTGTCGGCCAAAACAAGAAAAAAAATCGAGACTCCGAGACGCAAAAAG